TCTACCAACGCTGTTCATGCGCTTTTTTTGGCGGCTGGGGTCTTGATTATGGAAATCGTGGGCTGAAAAGCGTGACTTCGTTCCTCTCAAAAATGATTGAAAAAACATCAGGTTGTGTTTCCTAGAATTGCGGGAAGCTGTGTTTATTCCATAAGCAACGCCGACCGATCACCTTTCGGTGGGTTGTGGGCTGGGAACCATTGGGTCATATGGTAATCGGTAAACTAATGAAAAAAAGGCAAAGAGAACGTCGAAACAGTCCGGCAGAGAATACATAGATGATTGAGAGTCCACCACTAAGATAGGCATGGTACAACTGAATGGTAACGGAGGGTTCTGATGGAAAGTCCAGATTGCAAAGGCAGAGTTGGTTCATCGCTGCTAAGTCATCGTGCTTTTATCTAGCGCCTACGAATTCCGGAGTGGGGCGCCTTATGCAGCGTTTAAACTTTGCGATGACTGCATCAATCTTCGCCTCCTGGTGGCTGGTGCCGGTCGATATCAGATTGCCTAAGTGTGATTAAGCATGGCATAACTCCTGTCTTCCATACTCTCTCAATACGAAAGGGGCGGAGCCAATCGCGCGCAGCGTTCGCGTCTACACGCTTGGAGCGCTATCGCAATTGTAGCGTACTACAGCGCGCCGACGCGCGTCTTAGCGCATAACAGTGAGTCGTCGCGGAGTTTGAACATTGCCTTATTTGACTGTGGGTGTGGGTGTGCACCGAGAAGCTTCTTTACCTTGCGGGCGCTCTCTCCAACGAGAAGAGAATTGTTCATTTGCATCTGACTCCTGTTTTTGTTCCTTGTAGACTATACTAGCACATGAAAAATGGAAGAATCGCGGTTACTCTCCCCCTTGTAATATCTGTTGCTATCTGCAATAACCTCCGTTTTCTTCTTGATGTGTCGTCTGCTAGTATATTCTACAAGGAACAGAAACAGGAGTCAGATGTAAATGAACCTGCTAGCTTTGATATTGAAATTCAACGCCAACATCTTTATTTGCTTTCTATACCGCGTCTCATAACATGTGAACACACATCTCATGCGCTTGGTTCAGAAGTTTTCCCTGGCCACGCTCTCGTTCTACGGTCCACAGACTGCCTACAGAGTCCCTACCACCTTCGCGATTATTTCTTCTCAAGCCAAATGTTTCATCTATCGGATCGACTAATGACTCATGGCGCTTTACATGAAGATTCTGGTGAAAAGTGAAATGTTTCCAAAGGCAGTCTATCTACTAAGTGGGAATCTTCGTGCTCCCCATTATGCCGCGTTTTTTTATCCACTCATTCCTTCCTTAATATTTTGGAGAATTACAGTTGATGTCATATTCACGAAAATGGACGTTCCTCTAGCTCACGGCTTGAGAGTAATTGAAGTTAGGCAAGGCTGAGAATTTCGACTATATGGGTTTCTATACAAAAAGTCAACAGGAACAGCTCTTTAACGAAAAAACGAAAAAAAAAACGCCGATCCGCGTTTTTTTTTTTTCGTTTTTTCGTTATAGAGCTGTTCCTGTTGACTTTTTGTATAGATACCCATATATGATTAGAATCAGCTCGCCGAGCTGTATCCGAGGGTATGCTCACATTCTACGACATTGGGTTTTGGCCGGCGCCATTTGGCGCCACTTGGCGACACCTTAGCGCCACAACTTTTCTCAACAAGGTCTGTATAAACCTGCTTACAGGGGCTATTCAGTGGTCCTGTTCACAAAGTTGCATTCATTCCTAGCCGTGACACCATCTGGCGCCATTGGGTGCCGATTTCGCGCCACTAGCGCCACTTTGGTCGGCTCAGACTGTATGTGTTGTAATGATTACGTGAATGTGAACTATAAAGACATGCAGCAATCACGTGAACAAGCGGCTATGGTGAGCGCAGAGCCGCCAGCGCCGCAAGCTCACGTGATTTATGTATGCTCTGCGAAATGACGATCACGTGACTATCCCACAAACCAGGCTGCGAGTTTAAGATTTTGGTGAAAAAAGTAGTGGCGCCAAATTGGCACCAAATGGCACCGAACGGCGCCATGGCTAGGAATGAATGTTACATTCGTGATCAGGGCACCGAGAAACCCCATTATGCAAGTTTGCACAGATTTTTTGGGAAAGGTTGTGTCGCCAAAGTGGCGCCACTTGAGAACATCGAGGTAGTAGCGAAGAAGAAAGAACACCAGGTTCCCTGCTCACCTCTTCAATCCGCGGTCCCCCCTGCTTTGATTTACCGCTCGCTTGGACTCTACGAAAGCAGGATGAGCGTGCGGTAGCGTTATTTAACGCGCCATCGAAAGGGCGATGGTCGGGGTTTCCCGCTACACGCAAGTGAAAGAGTGAAGAGGGAATCCGGAGCTCCGCACTCCGCCGACGATCGAAGATCAGAGACGCCGCCGCATTTGCCAAGGTTTCGAAGATCAGGTGGGCCGGGCACGTCATGCGTTTCGAGGACGACCGCTGGACCAGAGCGATCACCGACTGGATTCCACAGAATGTCAAACGAACATCTGGACGACCGCCTACGCGATGGTCAGACATCTTCGTGACGATGGACTTTGGCAGGTTTCAGGGGTCAAATTTGTTAGAACAGGTGGCCAAGAGCCTAATCAAAAAAGTAAGGAAAAAAGGTGTGGAAGAGCGTGAAATAAGACCCTACGAAATTTAAGGCATGTGGACGAGTTTCGCAGACCTTTGGTGAGTTCTCCAATACACGTCGCCGGCTCGGAACTCCAGAAACTTAGCGTTTATCAATGCCAGCAAGCACTGATAACTGTTAACCAGTCGGGGCGGGATTAACAGGGAAGGAGGCGTCAGCTCAGCCTTGTTGACTCCGCCCTCGTCAACCAATCGATTTCGAGCCGCAAGAGTGGGATTTCCGCTGTGGTTGCGTACTCCGCGTTCGTTTTCATTGGAGGGTTTTTTCACTTTGGTTGATCGCGGACGCTGCCTTTAACGAATGGTCTGAAGTTCATCGTGTCCCTCGAGCAGAGGAGTCCATTGGGCAACTCCTGCACGTTGCAGGGACGAATGAGACGTTACTGGCGCCCGCTCGAGGAACTCGATAGTCACCGCGAGCACAGGTGACACACAGATGGATGGATTGGGGCATCTTACAATCACATATAAGCATTCTTGAGGTCACTGTAGTATGGAAACTTCAGAGGCTCTTTTGAAGATTGAAACGTATCTGCAAAGTACCTAGCAGTTCTCGTCATTTATGGGCTGATTGAGGAAGGTAGTTCGAGTACTTGTTGTGCCTAGGCACTGAGAATGTTTAGGAATTTCTTCGACTTCTCCACGTTCGAAAAGCATTCTCCTAATGGTATGGCTCGAATTTGGAGACGTGTGATGGCACAGTTTAAAAAACGGCTTCTTTACTCATCGCGCAGTTGGAGAACTATATTCTCACAGCTCTTTATACCAGGTTTGTCGTTGTGTCTTGTCGTGGTGCTAATTTGAGTTGGTGAGCTGTAGGTAGCATAGTGCAGCGTTTATGATTCAAAAGTAGAGGAGTTAAATGCAACAAGGCGACTTCTTACTCTTTTACATTTGGACAATGAACAATTACTTTTCTTGACATTTAGTGCTGTTTGTTATTCTGGGAATGGGCGTGGCGCTACCGACTGTTAGTTTTTTGTCATCTCCTCCGATCGAAATATCGACGGCACAGTTTGTTAATCTATCAATGAGAGACGTTGTGATCCCTTATGAAGACTTCACGGTTCGCCCAAATTATCCATACAGTAACCTGAGCTCCCGCGATGAGGTCTGTGTAAACTTATTTACTATTATCAAGCTCTACTGTTTATATCATTGTCACTTTTAGCATTTGTTCGAACCAGCTTCAATAATTACACAACTTTTCAACCCTGCTGGGCCAGGACCAGTGTGTGTTATTCGGAATCCCAAAATGACATGGATGGACGCCAACAGACCTGAATACCTCGTCAGCGACTTTGGACCGATTGGTCTATTCAACTTATTTCGATAATCACTGCACGGAGCAAAATTTCAAGTTGATATATAGGACCCCACTCAGGAACTTTTTACTTCCACAGTTGCGAGGTCAGAATTCTTTGTTGTGTATGTGTTCTTATAACAATTTTGTAACATTTCGCCCAGTTGTCGCTGGGCGAAAACCTCTTCCACTTCGTGGGCGACGACTGCTCCGCTGAGTCGGTCTGGCTTATGTTAGCCAGACGCTAATCCTTGTGAATGAGAATGAAGAAAGGTTCTGAGCATACGGCAATAACGAAAGAAAATGCAGGTTGAGGAGTTGCAAGCAACCTTTGGATCATTCCGAAAAAGACACAGCTGTGGATCGTTGAGCGGCAGTAGAAGAGCGAACTTATTTCGCTCCGTTCATGTCACTTATTTCGCTCCGTTCATGTCAATCCGTGCATGAAACAGAGGATCTGGAGCTTTCAGTAAACAGCATATCTTCGTACTGAGCGATTTACACCCCCTCTTCCTTCAGCAAAGAACCGCTCCTGACGCATTGTCTGTTCGCAACGCGGCAAGTGCTGCATTTAGCTTCTACAGATTGTCACAGCTTCATTCAGCTTTCTTTCTTTCTTCGTTTCAGGCGCACAATCCACAATCACCCCCTCCCCGACGCCTCCGCCTTTCGATACCCCGCATTGCATCCCAGATAGCTACAGCTTTTGGTCCGCACAGCGCCGCAACGCCTTCAGAACCTTCACATTTAGCATGGTGAAACCCCTGGTCTCCACGATAACGCTGGCGACGATGGCGGCAAGTGCGACGATGGCGCCAACGCCCCTTATCAATCACTATCAGTTGTTATCCCTTTCCGTCACCGACCAGTATTGTTCCAAACCCATCATCCTTCACCTGTGAAGAGGGTTATTGCTGTTGCAGTCAGGTGTGGTATCGAGAAGGACGACCCTCTCCTTCTGAAACGCTTCATCGGGTCTTATCTGCGGTGATAATATTCTATCACCCTCCAGTGAAGCTTTCGTCCCATATACAGTATCTCCTTTT